CTCTGCTCACCTCTTGTTTATTTCCACGTTTCCTGCTCCTGCTCGAACGGCTCCGTGTGTGCACACACGTGCACGTGTATACTGAGCTCCCTGGCTGGGATTTGGTGCTCCTGAATCAAACGTGGGCAGAATTTAAACCAGGAACATGACTCAGGACTACGGCTGCAGACTGAGCCCTTAGAAACACTGGGAATCAAGCTGTTTGCCTTGAATCTTCTCCTAATTCCTAGCTAGCCTCCCTGGGCCTCAGTTTCCTCAACTGTAAAATGGGAATAACCATTTCTATTCCAGCCTATTTCGCAGCATCACTCTAGGACCAAAGGAGATAACATACATGAAAGCTATTTTCCTTCAGACAGTGACAGGGCAGGTTAGACAGGCAGCCAGACAGCAAAACTAGGCTCAGCCGCTAGAAATGGGTAGGCATCCTGATTGCATCAGAAGTTAAAAGCCGATCTAGACTCGTGGTTTAAGTTCATGTTGTCCCCTCTAGCTGGAATGTCCTCCTATAATACCTTTGCTAAACTCCTACACATTTTTAAGAACCCAGTTCAAACAGCACTTATTTTTTGTTAGTATCTTCAGAATTAATCATTTCCTCTTTACTGCTCCCTTGGCCTTTTGTATATACCTCTAATAGCACTTTTTACTCTTCACAGTAGAGATTTACTTATGTACCTGGAAGTTCTTTGAGGGCAAAGAACCATGTATTTTTTATCTTTGTATCCACCTCCCCACCCACCACCACTGTGTGGCCAACACTGGCACATGGCAGGTGTCAACCAGTGTTTACAGGGCTGACTATGGAATGGGCAAGAGTTTAAAGTCAAGGAGGTAAACATTAGAGAAACCCAGGAAAGCAGAGAAGGTGGGGCAGCACACACAAAGAGCCAGTGTAGGGGGCAGGCAAGGAATCCAAGAGGGCAGTGTCACCAAGGTCTGTCCCAGGCAATAAGGGGACAGCCACAGGGACAAGAGTCAAAGATGAACTGTAAGTTCTTGGAAGACCAGATAGGGATCTGGTCCTGGAAACAGGAGGGAATGAACATGGAGCAGGGGTACCCTACTGAGGTCCGGGGACTAAGGAGCAGGGGTATCATACTAAGTCCCGAAACAAAGCTAGAATAGGAGGGCTTAGGGACAAGGAACAAGGGCAAAGAATAGAGCCAGGGAAAAGAATCAGAGCAAGGCTGAAATGGTACTGAAAAAGCCTGGAATGTCTAGATTAGGTCTGCAAAAGTTGAACTAGCAGCTAGGGATTAGTGACCTTGGCTATGAAATTGAGGGACTCTAGAGGCAAGAGTCATTACAAGTAGTGATCATTTCCATGAAATAAGAATTAGAGATGAAAGGGACTCTTAGATCTATAAGAAATATTAGGAATTATCTAGTCTAACATCCCCAACCTACATATGGGGAAACTAAGGACCCAAGAGGAAAAGGGGCTTGCCCAAGCTCTCTCAAGGCAGAAGCAAAGCCAGAACCCAGTTCTTCTAACGCTCAGTCTAGTCCTTGTACCCTCAATGGCTGTTTACCTTCAGTCAAGCAAGTCTCCTGAGGGTTTCACTAACACACCAAGTGCCCAATTCCAGCTGCTTCAAAATCTTGGGGAGCCTCCATTGTACCCACTAAGTGAGCACAAGCATTTCTGTCCAACTGTGAAACGCAGGTTTCCATCTTTGGGTGGAGTTTAGAGCCAATGTTCCACAGGAAATGTGCAGGTAGCAGCCCCACCTGGGGTTTGGAGAGCAAAGAGCTGCTGGGGTATGTGTTTACTGTCAAGAACCAAACAAACCCCTTCACACACATCCTGCCCTGACATGTGCATGGGGGATTAATTCCAATCACTGTGCTACCCCTGGAATTTTCCAGGAATGGCTACAGAGGCCCAGTATCGAAGGTAAAGCTGAATGAAACAGACTTTTCACCACTATAAGAACATTAAAGGAAGGTCAGCCAGGTCTAAAATTTCAAATGAAGTCTTTCTTAGGCTAGAAATGAGACATGGCTCAGAAAAAAAGAATTGAGACCCTCAGGGAATTAGAGACCCTGACTCCAAGATTTCAAGACCTTTCATGTAGGGAAGAGTACATATGAAGAGGGTGTGAGGAAATTAACTCTCAATTTTACTTCATCTATACAGAAAGTATGTGAGTTTCTTCAAGTACTTCAAGTCCCAGGCTCACGATTTACCTACTGTGTCATGGGGGCCAGGGGAGTACCCATTCTGAGCCTTAGTCTCCTTACTCAAAAAGCAGTGATTGTAATGCCTGCATGCAGGTTTATAATGAAGATAAAATATTAATAATATCTATAAAGCATGTAGCACATTGTCTGGCCCACAGTAAGGACTAAGTAACTTTGTGCTTATTTGCTTTCTTTTGTTCACAGAAGAGGATGGTTATACCACCATCCAGCTCTGTCTACTCATATTTTCCCCTCCTGCTTGACTGTCCTTCTGGACCCTTCTGTGCAGATATCTTATCTGAGGCCCCAGCTCAGACAGCTCATTCCTCCCCCTGCTTCTCCCTTGGACACTAAAGGCAATTAATAGAAATTAAAAGCAATTGGTCAGCTGTGTGCCACATTCAGGTCCTTGAAGGTCAGGAATTGTCAGCTTAGTCCAAAGCTGTTCCTGCCTCCCCAGATGTCCCTGCACCTCCCTGGACAAGTCCATGACCAGGGTAGAACCTAGCTTAGAATGGCCCTTGTCTTTTCCAAGGTGAATCCACTCCTAGAAGCTTATGGCTGTTCCTGGCCTGGCTCTCTCTGAGCTTTAGGTGACTATACGCCTGGCAGGCCCGACATCAGCAGCTGACAATAATTCGCAGACCCAGTTTACCAGCGGGTCAGCCTGGAGTCTGAACCTGCAGTAAGACCAGAGAATATACACTCCAGCACCCTAGACACTGGAGCAGAGAGGGAGGGGAGCACTAAAATGAAGCTGCCAAGGGGCTCAGGCTCAACTCTTCATATTGCCCTGGGAATAAGGTACATAAAATTCACATCAATGTCAGGCTCTTAGGCTACATGTTTGCACTGGCCATCTCTGGCACAGTGCTGCACACTGTGGCTACCACAGGGAATTAAAAGACTTCAAAGGGGAAGAAGAGCAAGGAACCAACAGTTTCTGAGTGCCTATTGCATGCCAAGAACTTTGCATGCTACCCTCACCAATACCTTATGTATTATATAATAATATGCTATATAATAATATATAATACATATAATTATATAATAATACAATACCTTAGATATCCTCATCTTGCCAATAGAACCAGAGACTCGGAAAACTGTATGAGGCCTCTGTGCCTCTGCTACTATGCTACTATGCAAAGTCTTAAATGATCTGGGAAAGACCAAGAAAAGCTGAAGAGCCTAAAACACTATGGACCAGGCTCTCAGCACCTTAACTCACTAAGCTAGTGAGTTAATACTAGCTTAGTTAACACTAGTTTAAATACCGCACTCCCTCATTCATTGCTGGCAGAGTCAAATTCTGCCAAACAGAATCTAGAGAAATATAGCAAAAGTCATAAAAATGCTCATGAACTTTGCCCCTATAATTTCATCCCCAAGATCATATCTTTAGGAAACAGTTCAACAGGGATTCACTGCAGAGTTCACCAAAAAAAAAGGAAATGATCTAAATGTCCGACTTCCAAAGAATGGTTTGAAAAATCCCAGAATCTTCTAATCATGTAATATTATACTGCATAGCCATTTTAAATGAGCATTTTAAACATCAAGAGGAAACAAAGCAAACCATTTGTGATAAAATACAGAGACTGGAAACAAAACATCATAAACATTGTCACTATGACTTTGTAGAAGTGTGTACATGTATTAATGCAAGAAGGAATGTAGTTTGTGTTAGGGTGGCAAGATTATGGATGATTTTATTATTATTACCATGTGTAAATTGTCTTTGTAGTGTTGTGTAATACCTTTTCAATCAAAGAGAAAGAGAGAGAAAAAAAGACAGACTTAACCCCGCACTAAGGATGGGCCCAGGAGGACCAGGGCTGGGATGTGAAGCAGAAATTGAGAACCGTCCTACATACCCGGAAGGAGGAGGCCAGGAAGGCCTCCGGGGAAGGGAAGCCCTCTAGGTATGGAGAGCATTGTAATTAGTCTGATGCTAATTACAGAAGTCTTGCTAGATTATTAACTTTTTGACAGACTCTGAATGAAGACTGAATTCCTTCATAAAGCCAACTTGGGTTCAGAGGCACACTTCCTGCGTGGCCATCCTCATTCTTCTCAAAAACCTAGCCTTTTCTTTTTTTTTTTTTTAAGGACAGCAGTAAAGTAAAATTTAGTAACAGAAACACACACTCTAGAGAAATTAAGACTCCTGCCTTAAATGTAGAAATTCAAGCCATTTCAGAAAACCAAAGGGGCTTCAAAAAGCAACTGAACTACAATGTTTTCCACACTGGGAAATAAAAACGGAAGTGTAAAATATTCAGCTCACTATTAAAGGCCCCTTGCTCAGGTTCCAACCCATCTTTCTGATATTACCTCATAATTGCCCCTGCAGACATCCCACGCTCCAGCCAAACTGAACCACCAACAGTCCCCAAAAGAATTTCTTCACTTTCCTACTCCCATGATTCTGTTCAAGTTGTTGCACCCACCTAAAAGTTCTCTTGTCTTTTACAACTTCTTGTTCAAGTCTGACCCATGCTCCAAGGCACAGCTCAAAGCCACATCATTCTCGAAATCTAAGCCAATTCATTTCTCATTCTTCACAGTGGACCAAGAGTACTTTGAACCTGTCTAAAGGAGTTACACAACACAGTCTGCCTTACCATATAATTACCTGGGTAACTGACTTTTCTACCATATTAAACCACGAGCACCTTAGGGGCAAGGACCCCTTCAGATTCCTACATGCAACCTGTCATAATGCCTGGCACGCAGTAGGCCCTCAGTAAATGCTTCACTGAAAGACAAAAAGAAGAGACACATCACATTTATGAGAAGCTACTTCCTACCTCAGTTGCTCCTGTTAAGCAATGCAGAGATGAAGGCATGCTGTTCTGTGGTCTTGAGCAGGGGAGGCATGAATCTTGCTTTTCTAGTTTCCAGCCTTCATGAGACTCCAATTTCCTCCCTAGTTGACCATAGTCTGCTCGGCCCCAGGTAAATATCTTGCCAGTTTCTAAAAACAAACATTATTTGAATTAAGGCTACATTACACACCTGTGCTCTCATGGGTAGGCAATGAATTACGAGAGAAAGTATGAACATTTATTTTAGCACAAACTACTATACCAAGAGCCTTCCTATCTTCCTGTAAAGAAAGCATGTGTATTCACATTTTTATGGTGTGAAAACTGAGGTTCAGAGAGGTTAAATGACCTGCCCAAGATCAAACCAAGAATCTGCTCTCCCTCACCCAATCCAGGCAAGGGTCCTTTAGCCACCCTGAAGTTCCCCAGGCCACAATCTCTTAGAGTCTACTCTTAGCCCAATTAATGGCCAGTTTCACGTGCTTTCTCCTCCATGCAACATAAGGGGACCTAATCTATGCTCTTACCCAAAGGAGCAATTCCAACCGTCCCAAGGCAAGTGTCTATGTGTGCTAGAGAGAAGGGAGCAAGAAGAAAAAGAAAAAGACAAAACCATTTGGAACCAGAAAAGCATTCAGTCCCCTAGAAGTACCACATGGGAAGCTGGCCAGTGCTAAAGATGATAGAAGAAAATAAAGTTTGGAAAAGGAGAAATAGCCTTTCTTCTCCCAGATGAGAGAAAACTTGCCAAACTCATTCAGTTGTACCAAGTGCCACATTTGTTATTTCAACAGAAATGCAAAATCCGATGAGGCATAGATTATTAACAGATTCTCTGCAATAAATATGCATAACCATGTGCGCTGTATAAATTCTTTATACATGTTTATTTTAACAAAGAAAAACTTTGCTTAAGAGACAAAACACCAAGTAATGCATATTAAATTCTAGATAAATCTACTACATACTCTGTGTTTGGTATCAAAGCTTCATCTGGCCCCACATTTAACATATGGTTTATAGTGTCAGCTAAAAAACAACCATAGATTCATGGGGGAAATGTCAGAATATCGCAGGGATACAAGGCTCTGCAGGGATACAGTTCTCAGGATGAACCTGCTAGCAGACACTAAGTAGATACCAAGGAGTTCACAGGAATCTGACTTCTGGGCTTCCTCAAAGAGGGAATAAAGTCTGTGCAGCCCACAGGGTACCTGGTATATTATGAGAGCTTGGAGTGGGTCCATTCAGATGTGCTATTTCATGGATCTGCATGTGCTGTTCCTTTTGCTATTGATGTCCTTTCCTTACCTGGTAAGCTATGGCCCAACTTTTAGAGTCCAGCTCATATAATACTAGTTCTATGAAAACTTTCTTGACTCCCCAACTCTATCCAGAAAGGTGAAACTCACCCTCCTGTGAGCCACCTTTATTATTAATATAATACACATCAACTACTCTGTTGCCATTTAACAGGTGAGAAAATTAAGGTTCAGAGAAGTGACCTGCCCAGGGTCACACAGCTCAGCCACATCTCTTTCTGTTAGCCCACGGTAACACTCTGCATTGGTTACTCACATTGGTCACTGCATAATCACTTAACACTCTTCCTTCACTTCTGCAGGGTTAGACTCCAAAAAGCCCATGTACCCAGGATGCTTCATGAAACCCATGAAGCATCCCAAACTGGCAAACTGTCCTACCTGAGCTGGCCAGGATTTATAACCAGACAGCCTGAGCAGGAGATTCCCCAGAAACCATAGGATAAGACTATTGCTGCTTAAATGACCCTAGCATTCCCCTGCTGGGAAAAACTAGGAAGTTGTTATCTGCAAGATGACAGAAAGAATTATGTTATCACAAATCACAAAATGAATCCTTTCTTTCACATCAAATAAAACATCGTAGAACTTTCTCTGTTATTGATTATTGATGTCCAAGACAGGCAAGACTGCCAGAATATGGTGCCACCATTATTCCATCTCCAATAGCAATTCAACCATTCCACTTACAAAGCACTTTTCACCTTCGAAGCACTTTACAAAGATTAACTAATTAATCCTCATACTCCCTGGGGAGGCCACAGACATTCCAGTAGAGACAAGTCCAGAAACCAGGCCAACTAGATGTTCAGCCTTCAGCCTCAAGCCTAAGTCTGATGTACTCTCTGAGACTGTTTCTCCTCAAAATAAACTCTGCACCAGAAGGCTAAGAGAGGGCAGAGGAGGCCCTTTTATTTTTGCTTTTCTTTTAAACAGACATTTATTGACCACCTCCCAAATACCAGGCACACTCATAGACACCATCTCAATTAATCCTTACAACAATGCTATAACATACAGATTATTAAACTTATTTTACAGATGAGGCTAAATGACTTAAGAGGTTAAATGACTTGGTTGAGTTCAAATAACCAGCAAGTGGTGGAATCAAGATTTAAACCTGTGCCTTCAGAGGCCAGGTCCTATGGTATCTCCAGTGACGGCACAGCTGCTGTCGCAAACTGATGAAACTTGGCTGATAAAACAGCCATTTTACAATGTTTGAGGAGGGGAAAAATCCAGATTAAATGGATGTGCTCTGTGTACCATCCAGCTTTCCTCACTAGAGTGATCTCCCTCCCAAGAGGCCATGCAGAACTCAGGACTAGAAATGCTGAAATAAAGGCGTTAAACACACGGATTATGATTTTATGTCACCTGGAGTAAAATAATGAATCCACATACAAAAAGCATTCATTAATGCACTGTAGATAAATGTCTGCTTCAAGCTGATGCATGCTGTCAAATCGAAGGAGATTCAGAGCACAAATTTAACGAATGAATCTTTTCCTTAGAGTAAAGGATTAAATATTACTGTGATAAAAAATAGATATATTAATGTCATCCAAAAAATATAGGTATGTGTCTCCAGGTAAATGATAAATGAGAGAAATGACAAAACAGCTCAAAATAAAGTAAGTGAAATATAATTTAAAGGCACGTCCACGTAAGAACTAACGCAGAATCACTTCAGAGCAAGAAGTGTACACTGCAAAAGGTCTGGACGCAACACAGGAAACGGCAGGGGCCAAACGAGAAGTATTGGGAGAAAGAACACTTACGGGGCTTGGAACTAGAACTGTCCTGGCAGGCTTATGGAACAAGTGGCGTTTAAACTGAATTTCTGCTTAAGAAAAGAAAATGAGAGAATTAGGGAGGATACTGTAGGAGCAGAGAGAGGGGATGAGCAATGACGTGGAAATCGAAAGGCAAGAGAGTGAATGAGGTTCACACACGAGGGAGCCTGGGAAGGAACTAGGTCTGCCAGGCTGGGGCCAGCCACGGGGAAATGCCAGGCTTGGGGTCCCCAAACTTGGTTGCTTGCACCCCTCTATCAGTAAAATATTTTTTAACATACCATTAATATATGTACATTCATTTATTAAAGTGTGTGCTTATATTTTACACATTCATAAATTATAAGTATGTACCCTCACTCAAAAACACATAATATATTAATAAAACATACTCAAAAAATAGAAAATGTATAGAATGGGATAAAAACATATAAAAGAAATTATAAGATTCTCTTCTACACCCTGGCAATTCATCTTGCATGCTGACTTTAGAGACTACTGCTAACTAGACCATAGGGAGACTACAGACTTTTGAGCAGGGGTGGAGCCTGATGAAAGGAATATTTGGGGACAGTACATCTGGCAAAGGATTGTAGGAGACGAGAAATAATAATATTCATAGTTAACACCTCTATAGCACCTACTATGTGCCAAGCACTATTCTAAGCATTCTCTTTACAGTATCTTGTTTATCCCCCCAACAACCTCATGAGATTGTTGTTATTCCTACCATCCCCATTTTACCAACAAGGAACAAGGTAATTACCCAAGCCACAGAGGTAGTAAATGAATAGGGAAGAGAAGAAGGAAACCACTATAATAATACGAGCCTAAGATGCATCAGTCCCAAACTAGGATTGGAGTTGAAGGAAAACAAAAAAGAATGAATGAATTTTCAGGGCTTAGCACCCCATTAGATGTAAGAAAAAGGGAAAGGGAAGAAATAAACACCATTCTGAGATTTTAGGACTTCAAGGTTAGTCAGAAGGTGATGGCGTCCTTAAAAGAAACAGATGAAGGGGTAGAGATGCTAGATCAGGCGTCCTGCCAATGGGAATCATGAAATGTTATTTTATTATCAAATTATTTAACTCTCCTGGGGCCTTTTGCAAGCATGTTATCAAATAGTCAAATACAAATAAAAGAGGAGGAAGTAAGGAGAAAGACTACTAGGTACAAAGCCCAGGGAGCAGGGTACTCTGAAGGCTGAGTGGGTAGACGGTGGATATTCAAGAGGCCAAATTCCTTTACTGTCCGTCAAGGAATGCAGATGTTACAGCCACAGCTATATGCACAATGAGAAGCAGATCCGGCAAAATCTGAGCTCTTCAGGGAAGAAAAATTTCTACCCTGTTCCAGGAAGTCCTGTAGGTTATAGGAAAGTAGATTAGAGGAACATCCATATTTTCTTAACAAATCTGTTCAAAAAGGGAACAGAATGTCATGAATATAGCAAAAGGGAGTTACCAAACAAAGGATGTTATAAAAAGAAAACCAATGGGTCAGACGGAGAAAAAGCCACACAACTTCTTCAGTCCCTTCCAAAATATTCCAGGATGCTATGAGGCCTTCTAGAATATACACACACAAGGAGAAGGAGGCCACTCTCTACCTAATGCATTTGTTATATTTATAATTCACCTGTTCACAAACACCAGCTACTCTCTGGGTTATTCATTCTAAGTCTTTAGAAGGTAAGAACCTGACTTCTGTAACTCATCTTTCATTCTGCCATGTGGATGGACCTTTACAAAAAGGCAATTGATGATAACAACCAAGGATTGGTCAAACACAGAACTAACTGCCCAAGAGTCACCCAGCATCATCTTCCTGTAAAAGAAGCAAGAAAGAGCGAAGGACAGAGCTCAGAGCACAGGTGCTGGAAGCAGTCACACCAAGCTGCTTTCTGTCTAGCATGCACTACGCTGCTCTTCCACAAGGACTCTACACCGGTTCCTCTGTCCCCATTTACCTAGGCAACTCCTACCCACTCTTCTACTCTGCTGACTCCACAACCCAGATCAGACTCCT